ACCATTCTTCACTGCTGACATTCGCGTTTGAAAAATTTAACATAAACATATAGATTCACATGTACAGCATTTTCTGCTCTAACATCATAAGCTGAAGAAAGGTTCATACGCATGAGTTGCAACTACTCTACCGTAACGTGCCAACAAGCGGAGCAGAACGATGGTTCTTCTTCACATTGAGGCTTGATAATTGCTACTGTAAGTCGAAAAGATGACTCGCATGGCGGCAGATTCTCCAGCTTGACCTTGCAGCCTTAGGCTGGGGATGAATCTCGTGGCAGCGCACTATGCCACTTCGTTCCGTACAGTTCACATACGCGTGCCTCCGTATCTTGAATTTTAAATTCTCATTGGATACTGATCACTCTTTCCCGCGATACTCGCCATAACTCGGACGTACCCTCCATTGGTGGGAGAAGCTGGACTGCTTTCCACTTCCCTTTACTAAAGAAGGCAGAGATGTTATCACAGCCTGTGTTCAAGTTTACACCTGTAAGGGCTCCTCATGAAGCAGTGGTTAACATCGCCTGGTTCAAGTTGCATAGAATGTTCGCGCCTCTTCCGTTTTTCACGTAGCACCTTTTCAAAGTGAAGTTTTTGCTGGGACAAATTAAGACATCAGTCTCAGTGTCAGTGTATAAGAGTGCATCACACTGTCATTCCCACGCGCAAGCCGAGCATACAGAACAATACCCGTATCAGCCTCTTCGTCACGGAACTGTACCTCAGGAACTGGGTCTCTGGTCACCATGTGTCTGCCTCTAGTCGCCCGACTGGTCTTCAGTTGTCACACGGGAGTCCATGATCAAGTTGCCGAGTCTGCTTCTAATTGCTTCAGTTTTGCCGTGTCGAGCACAAGGAATTTGACGATTTCAGTTTATTTGTGTTGGGACTTAGCAGCTCGTTCTATGACTTCACAGTATAGTGCATCGCAGTAAATCCCTGTATTGTACACTGTCAGCGGTAGACATTTTTTTCAGTCTTTTGACATTTTTGATCAACACCTCGCGCTACACATCAACCACTTCGTCTACACCTGCTGCGCGAAGTTCGTTACTCTAAGCGACCACATGGAACATAACTCCAGAGGAGATCTACAACTTCCGTAGCCTGCAGTTTCATCGAAACAGCCGGTTTTGTTCTCAACTTGCCGGAACTGTCCCAGAAGTGCCATCCAAGCTCAAGAGGAAGTACTAGATCCATGTTGCGAACCTTATGCACAGCCTTCACCTTGGCTTTCTTCACTGGATCAAAGAAAGCGCGTGATTTGATGAGCAACGGCTCATTACAAAGTTTTTCACTGGCTGCTTTCTCTTGCCAATGGAGTACAGTTAGTCATCACTTACCTCTGTGTAGACAAGCTTTGCGAGTTGCAAATCTCTCTCGTTGGTGAACTTAGTTCGGCCATTACATTGATTTTGATGAGACGTGCGGGGAATTCACATTCAGCTGAAACTTCTAAAACTAATTCCGGTCATAGACGCGTTACTGGGTGAGGTTTTCCACTAAGAAATTGTTTTCAAGAAGAGACTCTATTCAATACACTTGCAATGTAAACATATGATTTATTTACTTACTCTTTTCTGAAACAATTTTCTAAACCTTACATTTTTTTCTAGTTATTAAATAAATAGCGAACTGCCGGTCTTATTGAGTGACCAATAACGGGCAATGTTGATTCAATGTTGATTCAAAGGCATAGGACCTCAGGTAGTTATAATTTAAGCACTACAATAAACGGAAGTAATGTTTTTAGTTCAAATATGTTTTAAATCTACGCTTAAACAACATTTGTTTAAGTTATATTGTTTAAGAATATAAGCAACTTTTCAGCCTTCCCCAAAATTCAAGATGGCGGCCAAAAGGAGATTATGAGGGGCAAATTTAAATTTCGATTTTCAAAGTGAAAGCTACCGTTTTATCCTTGCTATCATGTATTTTTGTAATGCTTAATAGTCAAAAATTAATAAGTGACATGTTTCGGCTGTTCCCCTCGAGTGAGCCATAAACCCAAATTTTCGGCTCTCAGCTGATGGACTAATATATATATAGAAATGTATGGAGTATGGGCCAATCGAGTTTGCAGGCCGCTACGATCCACGGGCTGTCCACGTGACAAATTTATGAACGTCGGCTTCAAGAGGAATAGTCAGAGTAACAAGCCACTAATCTCGAAAAATGGTTGATAAAACTGACGAGTCTATACTGCCGCGAATACAGTGGAAACTCTTTTTTGGAACACCGCTGTTCAAGGGACACCTCTACTCAGGGGACACAAAATTTGGGGGGGAAGGGGGGGGGGGGGGGGAAACCACCCCCAAAAGGTTTTTTTGGGTTTTTTCCTAGGGGATAAAACATCTGTTCCTGTCGTTTTCAGTAGCTGTTCTTTCATCTCTCGCACACATTTTTAGACAAGTTTAGTGATGGTCAGTTGCTATGGTTACAAGATATGACGTCATAAATAGCAGGTGGTCAAACCAATTTTGGGTGAAAATACATGTTTTTTCAACTTCTTTCAACAATAAAAGTAAATCTTGTGGCTAAAATCATGCAGAGTGCTTATATATGTATTATATTTCATGTAAAGCACAAAGAAAATTATCATTTCTCGCGGTTTTAACCTGATTTCTAATTCTTGGTAAAATCCAAGATGGCGAACATTGTTTGTGACGTCGACGCCCCCAGCAGCGCCACCACCCCAAAACCATATACCTGATCTTGTTGAGAAGATGGAAGGCTTTCCACTTAAGGGAAAATCGTTTCAAAATACTGTCACATATGAAAAACTCCGGGGAGGGGTACCATCCACCCTCCCTTGTACCACGGGGGGTTATGAATTTGCGTGTACGTCTGAAAGTTAAATTGATGTACTCCTCACTTGTGGGAATTAAAAACGCAATACCGCAGAGAAGAGTTAATCATGATTTTCTATACATTCTCTAGCTGCTTGAAATAATGACTGCAGCAGATTCCGTGGCAGAATAAAACAAAAATATTTTATTTGTTGGTTAAATGTTAACAAACCCCAGCCCAACCTCCATGTAGGCGACACCTCTATTTAGGGGAAACTTATCTTGGTCCCAAGGGTGTCCCCTGAATAGAGGTTCCACTGTAAATGAATCTGAAGCTTATATGTGACTTGACTTTCCAACACAACAAATCGTCACCTTTGTGTTATGGCTTTTTGAAGCAAATACCATGGGGAGTCCTCCTTTTATACCTGACCTGAATCCATTCGTAGCTTTTAGTAGCCTGTTTGGCGGCAAAGTTTAAATTTTTTCATCGACCCTTTTTGCGTTAGCCTGAGAAAACAGCCGGCATTTCGGGACGCCAACACTAGTTTCCCCGGGATGTATCACTACCCAGATCTGGGTAATGCTTCTGATTATTTGGTGTAAATTTCTCTCACGATAGGCCCAATCATAAGTACTACCCAGATCCGGGTAGTGATATTAATAGCTTTTAATAGTGGCAGTAAGTTGCTATTATTAAGGGGTATGACGTCAAATTTGATTTGAGAATAGGCCACTTCAAAAAATCCAAAATGCAAAAATCCAAATGTTTCGCCCATAAAGACAATCTGACATCACTTAATTAAATCACATTTCCAACCTGGAAAGGGGCTGGGAACGTTACCTGTAAAGGGTTAAAGAAACGCCTTACAGACTTTCTTCTTCCCGAATAATTAAATTCACGAATTTTTAAAGCAAACGTTTAGAAAAATCTTTACAAAAAATGAGCACTAACAGCTGTCGTTTCTTGCAGTCGCCTCTTTTACGTTTAGTCAAAGAATTATCTAGAAAACAAGCACAGCAGTTACTTCGAATACAACCTGATTTTTTGAAAAATAGTTTCAATTATAATTAACCTTCTTTAAGGTACAGGCTGGTTTTCACTAGCGACGGAGTCGGAGTCCGAATCGTAAGCGGAGTCGTAAGAGCGCTTATGACCTTGTGAAAATCAAAAATCAGAGTCGTAAGCAGAGTCATAATCTCGACGGAATCGGAGTCGGAAGAATCAGAACGCTTCCATTTCCTTCCGACTCCGCATACTACTCCGTCGTTTACGTTCAAGTGAAAACGGGACCGTCGGAGTCGGAAGCAGAAGCGGACGCTTTGTGATTGGTTTAGTTCTTTCGCTTCTGCTTGCGACTTCGACAACCTTGTTTTCACTTGATGGTAAACGCGGAGTCGTAAAACAGCGGAACCGGAGCGTTGTTTTCATTAGATCGTTAAGTCCCACGCTGCTGATTACGACTCCGACTACACCGCTAGTGAAACCCAGCCTTTAGTAAGCTTTCGCTAACTAAAAATTTCAAGACTGGTGTCCGCCATCTTAAAGCGATCCCAACATTTATTTGCGAGTACGGCAACAACCAGCCACCTTTCCATCGTCAGACCACAGGCTAAATAATTGTATCACAATACTGCAAAATATAATGTTCGTATGGGCTCAAGTTCCATTAAAAAAAGTCCATCACCATGCAGTTAGTTAGAAAATCATCTGTAGAGATAGAATTTTAGCTGATTTCCGGAAACACCGTGTGTAGCATTAAGGTTTCGTGGACTTTTATTCAGAATTTCTTTAAAATTTTTGGGATTGCAACTTCACCCCATTCGCCATTCGCCATTCACCAAAAAGGAAACTCGGCTGTGTTAATTTTCGCAAAGTCTCCTGGGACTGTCACTGGGGGCAGGGAAAAAAAATGGCCGATAGCTGACCGAAGTGTCCCGAGGAAAATCCTTAAATAAGAATGACCGAGACCAGGTTTTATGAGCCCCCGAGACTGAGCATCCCAGTCAAACCCTTGTTTTCACTAAAACCGCTGGACGCTACAACCTGGATAAGGTCATTGTTATCTAAGGTCTTCCGTGTCTCCCGTAACGATCCCACAAGTCTTTGCAAGAGTAAACGCGGTCCAGATTTTGTAGTTTTGCAAAACAAACATCGAGACTGGACAAAACTGTGGCCGGACGTGGCTCTGTCAATTGTCATTCCAGTCATATAACCCCAGTAGAAGGGACATTTTCCAAATCAGCTAGTCCAATCCTAGGTCGCCTGCCACTTCCTCCAGGTAGACAGCGTCTCCGCAACCAAAAGTGCCATACTCCAGTTATAAAAATCACCACTAGGAGCGTGACAAACACACCGAGAAAAAAGCCACCGGTTCCAGATAATTTAGGTTTTTTCACAGCGGGGCACACGGTCTTTTGACCATTTTCTCCTGAGGGTTTACACTGCGATAATTTGGTATTTTTACATGCGTGGCACCACGAAGTGACATCACGCACTGTAAGAGATGTCACAATTTTCACAAACTGGTCCAGGGGGCATGGATCGTCGCAATGGGGTATGTTATATTTTACTATAGTTTCCTAGGGGAAAAAAAAACGATAAAGGTAGATTAGAAAGACGCACGCACGTCACACGAAAACTACTTGGCTGGAGCCTTATCAGAATTTCAGTGCATGTATATCAAAGGATACACCTGTGATTAGCTAACATTGTAGCTACTGTTGCATTTGTAGAGTTCTCTGTAGCATGAGCAATAGGAGTCGTACGTCTGTATTACTTACCTACAGCCGACCTTTCTCGACGCCATCGCTGGTTTTCACGCGAAATGACGTCTGAGAAACGAGTGCAGAAATCCCATACTGATGACGTGTCACTACCCAGTTCTGGGTGATGCTTCTGATTGGTCGTGCCGCGTAGGAAATTTGCTTCAACCAATCAGAAACATCAGTATGAAATTTCTGCACTCGTTTCTCAGACGTCATTTTGTGGGGAAACCAGCGATGGCGTCGCGAAATGTCGGCTGTTTTTTCTAGGCTACTTACGTACTGACCTGAAATCTCTTGCAGCCCGTAAATGCTACTATTCTGGCGATTTGAGCTTGGAAATATTGCTAGTGATGTTGTGATCGTGAATTGTTTTAGAACAAGACTGTTGTTTTTCAGTACTGAAACTTAAAAAACCAGGCCACGTTCTACGTATTTTCTAATTCATCAAACACGTCTTCTAAAACAGAAAATAGCCTACAAGAAATATATATAACAATTATTCACCGAAGTGGAGGTGGCTAGTATTGGAAATTTACCGAGGCCGCGAAGCGGCGAGGTAAAGATCCAATACTAGCCACCGACACTGAGGTGAATAATTGTTTTAGTATATACTAAAACAGTGAGATAATTGAGCACAAAATGATGATTTTTAACTCATTTACTGTTGCCAACGATTACAATTTTGGCGCGCGAACGGAAATAGCTTGCTTGATTAGTTGTGAAATTTCTTAGTTTGTTACGGCAGCAAACCGGGAAAGCATTTTGCTCGCAACCTACGCGAGTTTGGCGTCGCTCGCTCGGAGGAACTGGAGGTGAATCAGTGAAAAGTGCAGGATATTCACTGATTGAGTAGCCAATCAGAGCGCGCGAAAAACACTATCCACTGTTTTAGTATATACTAAAACGAATTATGGGCCTTGTTTGATTGTACATTCACTCTAAGGAAAATGCATGGCTGCCATAAACGTATAGGGAAAAAAACTTACCTCCAATGAACTATTCTTGAAAGAAAATCGAACGAAGTATTTGTTTTTAGAATCCCTCAGTAGTTCAGTGAACACAAGAGACGCATAATTCGGGATTTTACTCAAAGGACTCTGAGAATCTTTGATTAACCCAAGTGAAGTAAACAATGATAACATGGTAGGATAGTGAGCTGAGTAATACCGCAACTGAAAAGAATTAATAAGAAAATAAATAAATGCACTTCATTGTTAAATAAGTTAGTTCTTATTCTTGATTAATGAACACTGAAATGTGTGATTTTTGTCGATGATAATGACGACAATGATGATGATGATGACGACGACGAAGATGATGACGATGATGATGATGATGATGATGATCATGACGGTATCACGTTGTAAATCGTATTGAATACCACCAAGGATAAAGGTAAAGGTGGCTTCTGATACACGGAACGTTTTCTTGAACCTCTAATCGGTGTTTGTGCCGGTATCCGTCCTCGAACCATCCCTTGTTACGAGAAAGCCGTCGACACGATCGATCAACAGTGGTTTCTCGGAAGAAATAAGAAGAGCACCCTTAAAATTAAAGGTATGAAGTGGGTCTTATAAAAAGTAGTTAAGACTTAGATGGGTAAAGGATGTCTTGAAAAACAAACAAACAAACCTTCAGTTTACTTTGCTTTTCTGTAACATTTTTGAAGCTCATGGCAATCTCATTGGCCAAAAGTCCTCCGCCGATATCACCGATAAGTCCTTTGCTGTATTTGTTATATTCCACCCAATCTGCCAACGATTCAATCTTATACCACTCCTTTTCAGTGATGTTAAGACTAAAAGTGTGGTTGTACATGCGATGAAGATTAATGTAGTCATACCTAAAAAGAGTAAAATGTCAAGGGACGTCTTTTCTTTACACTTACAACTCATACTTCTGGTTTGCTTTACAGTATAAAATAACATGTTTTTGTGGTTTTTGACCGATCAGAAATATAGTGCTCTTACTTACACATTATAGAAGTCTTTAAGTTCAATTTTCTCAATCCCCAATACATTTGCCAGTGTTTGTCTAAGACTGGCACTTTCTGCCTCTCTCTCTTGAAATGTTTTACTCTCATAGAAAGCAGTGACTTTTTTCGTCAGCTCAGGACAGGAAAGCCACCCTCTTAGGAGCTGATCATTCTCGACAGCAACAGTGTGAATTGGAACCTGCCAATAAATGTAAATACAGTCAGACTTCACTGATGTGGACACCAAAGAGAGCAAAGCCAAGTGCCCACATAACAGGGATAGTTGCATTAATTTTAACTGAGGCACTGAATTTTGGTTTCTTTGGGACCAAAACAACCGTCAGAATAACGAGATATGTTCATTCTGTAGAGGTTATAGAGGGTTTCCTGCATTATTATTTAAAAGCAAGTCTGAAGAAGCAACTACATGTACCACCAGAACAAAAAGCACCACCCAGTTAGCTCAATAAGCTAACTGCAGGTTTGAAGTGCATGAGGGAACAGCAAGCTTAAAAATGGGCTAACACTGGTAGCCAGCATCTCCTAGAGTTGATTCATGGCAGTCTTCAGTCATGGGCCAGCATGACTGTCTTTTCCCTTTCTTCTTAACCAAGCACTTGAGTTAGAGTGCTGGAATGTTTGTAATCTGGAGGCCCTTAGTTAGATCCCCACCCCAACTGCTAGCTCAATTTGTTTTCAGTTAAGTTCCGGGTTGAACTTCTCGGTGACACTTGTAAATAGCCAACTGGTTTGTCTCTGGCCACCAAGGAATTCTTAACCTTAGCATACCCCTAGATAAAAGTCAAAAGAAGAAACTATGACAGTAACACTGACCTGTTGAATGTCATATGGAGCACGGAAAACTTGGTCCACATAAGAAACATTAAGCGTTTGGTTCCTTGGTGGGTATAATCCAAGAAGAAAACTCAGTGCACTTAAAAAAAAGTCAAGACAAAGAAATGACATCCACGTTGACTTGCTATACAACCACTGTCGAACACAACTTTAACTGCTATTGAGAAAACACAAGGCATCACAGAGACCCAGGTAATTCTAGTCTCCTATGCATCCATATTTTTGTGGTGTGATGCAGAGCAGCATGAACTGCATGACGACAAAAAAAAAAACAACAGGGGGAAAGAAAACTAAGGTATAAATGTAGTTCTCACCTGTTGAGAGTTCTGGAATAGTCACTAGACCGTACATAAATTTCTTGTGGAGATTTACTATACAAATCAGAGAAGTTGAAGTTCATTTCATGGAAATGACTATGAACAAACTCTCCGGCTCTAAACATTTGATCCATTCCTCTCACAGTCAACTGGCTGTCACTTGCTTCCTCAAATGTCTTGTGATCTTTGGTAAGAAGAGTGCGGCTTCCATGGCGTGATATTACCACTGCTTGTTGAAGCCACAGTTCTTCTAAAACAAAAGATAAATGAAATCTTTAACAATTTTTTTTTTGCAAGTTATAATAAGGGTAAAGGTTTGTTAATAATTTGTGGAATTGCACTTGGCTTTCCACCTAGTTTACTAACAAAATAATAATCTAGATACCGTATATCCTCAAATAAGCGTCTAGGTAATGTAAAATTTCAGCTAAATGGTTGGGCCCTTATTGGAAGAAGGGTGCTTAGAACAGGGCACTTGATAAGTTCTCATTTTGGTCATATAGTGTAGGTTAGTCCCATTTCTAAAATTCACACAGGGTTATTAGTGAAGTGGTAATAGAAACAGGATTTCCTTGTATCCCTACAATAAAAGAAAGTGACGGGGGAGAGAAGGGGGGGGGGGTGCTTGTTTAATATTTTGGCTTAGTGGGTGGGAACTTATTTTTTGGGGGGGGAGGATGCTTATTTGAAAGATTGGGTGCTTGTCCGAGGAAATTTGTGGTAAAATATACATAAGATCAAGACTGGAAGGAGGAAAACCAGAGTTGGCTATTTACAAGGGTGGCAAAAATTTGAATTGCAATGACTGAGAAGCAAATCCAGCTACATAATTATAGTAGTTGGACCAGGACTCAAACCCTGCACATTTCCATTCTGATGCACTGACCATTCTCCACACTGCCTCTACATGACAAGTATTGTCAATTATGATTTACTAAAGTTCACCAATTCTTGGCTGGGTCACTGCAACAGTGCATAGTGCCAATTTAACTACCGGCCCATAACAGTCCATCCGCGGAGACCCAGGGGCAGATAGTGGGGTGAGGGAAAGTCTAAACGGGCGGAAAAATATGGCACGAAGAAAAGTAAAGAACGGTGAGAAGAGCCCCTGGGGACAATGTCTTACCAGACCAGTTCCAAACAGTTGCTGCCGTTCTGCCTTCTGATTGGGCAGAAAAACACACAAAGTTTCTGGCACCAATCTTTACTTTTCTTTGTGCCATAAATTTCCGCCCGTTTAGACTTTCCCTCGCCCCCACTATCTGCCCCTGGGTCTCTGAGGATGGTAACAGTCCCTCTGCCCAAGAGAGATAGACCTCAGCACCATGGTGACTTCCCCCTACTCTTTATGAACAGTGAATGGAATTTATTATATGCAAGGGTTGTGAGACAGGGTCTACAGTTTATCGTCCTCATTCAAGAAGACTAGAAAGTCTAACTGTATACAGCTAGATGTCTTTATAAAGTCAGCATTTCCTCCTTAGCTATTAAAAGACCCTAAGCATTAGTCCAGCCAGGGTTTGAACCGGCGTCCTACCACTCAGAGGATCTGCTCTAATCAAACTAAGCTAACCGGGCAGCAGTTGAGCTAACCTGGTGGTGGTCATATGCAGTCATAGCACTGCATGCGGGTACTTCATTCGTGTCAGGGAAGGAAGGAAGGTTGCAACCCAGTTCTAAACAGTTGACCTAAGGTCTTTATTAATTGTGAGACTTTGTGATTTCTTTGACTCAGTTCCAACTTCTCCTATTGACAATTTCCATATGGTTGCAAAAATGAGATCTTTGACAGTTGCAGAATCTGTGCCATTGTAAGTGTATGTCTGCTGTTATTATGGAGACTTTACTGTACATGCGCTCTGGTTTGTTAAAGAGTCTAAACAGTCATGACAAGCACGTAGTGTTTGCTTTTTCAGATCATGGACAACTGGGATTTTACAGCCCTTACATTACCCACCAGGCCCAGGTTGTTCAATAGTTGGGTAACGCTATTCACAGAATAAATCACTGTTATCCAGTGGAAAGGTATTACGAAAACCGATAATTTGCACTATCCGCTGGATTATTTTATCCAGTGAATAGCGCTATTCACCTTTAAAACAACTGGGGCCAGGAAGCTATAGTATACAGTCCTAGTGATGAACACATTAGGGATAAAATTGTACTTTTCTGAAAATGATGATGATGATGATTACTGTCAAACAGACAAGACCTTGAACATTGGAAACATTCCTGAAATGTTGTCAGAAAAAGTGAATCAGGCGTGAGAAACTAGTCCACAAGCAACCTTAATTAGTTTGTGGTTATGCGGCAAGTTCGCATGTCATGATCTTTGCTGTGATTGGCCGTAACAAAATAAACATTCCTGAAATATTTCAAGTGTTGTCGGTTCGACGGTAATAGGGCAGGGTTGTGGGAGAACAGGACTGAATGAGCTTTTATTAGCATAGTTTTGTACAATTTAAAATTCATCTTACCTGCACTAATAGTAGAGAAATAAAGTCCAACAAAAATAAATAGCTTGTTCGACATCTTCAGGGGGGTTCTTCATTAGTTTCTAAATTTATACACTGTAAATATAAAGCTTGAGAATTAATATTAAAAACATCTGCACAACTGCATTTGGATTTCGACCCAGATCCCGTTGTATTATGCTAGAATGTAATACTGGTAAATAAATGGCAATAGAATACCTGCGCAAGCAACAAAAATAACCGGCAATCATCTGAAAATACGCATTCTGTCACGCATACCTCCACACATTGTCAACACGCACGCGGAAAAGTTGCAATAAATTATAGTCCAGCAGTCCAGCGGATTTCCAAAGAGGAATAAAGAGACTGGGGCAAAGTCCTAATCAAGATGGCGGAAAATGGCGGAGTGATTGAATTGAAAAAGCGAAAATAAGGTGAAGTTTATTGAGCTCGAGGAAGTAAGATGTCATTTCAGTCACAAGGCGGACAAGGTGATTATTTTTTGCAGTATCGACGTATGAAAACAAGCAAGTCTTGCAGATATTGCTTGCTGTATTGCTGGATCGAGGCTAGAGTACATAGTTCGCGTCAAAATGATCATATGATCACGGCTTGCCTTCGCTTTCTTTTGGCAGAAACACAGAATCGGAGGATTCTACAAGATCTGCAACAAAAACGCCAGATGCTTTTAAATCAAGGCCAAGGTGGCGTAGGAAATGTGGGGTGAGTCGAAGTGATCTTTGACCTTTAATTGTGAGCTAATTGTGAGAGATGCTAGAAAATACAGTTGTAAGCTGACAGAAATAAGCTTACTAACATAGTTTCAACATAGATTTTTCATACTTTGTACTTTGTTACGTGGTATGTTACACAGGTAATACATAGGCAGAAGTGAACACAACATGGCTTAAACATAGTCCAACATAGTTAATAAATAGCATGAACATAGGTTTTGCATATGTCTAGTTCTACAAGGGGTTATGATTTGGACGGTAAATTTGGCATCCCTCTCGCTTGAACAATTTCTTTCCTTGTTACTTACACAAAATAGCATGTTGTTGTCACATAGAGTTTGTGAAGCTTCGTTTAGTAAATTCAAGTCACTCACCACTTCTGGATTAATGCTTGATCTATGCAAGGAAACAGTAGCGTAAATTACATGTAGTTGCACCATACAGGATTACACCACCACCAAATATTAAAAGATTTGCTCAATCAAGGATAAAACAGCCTTTGTACAGACTGTCACATGATGTCTTACAGCATGTCACAATGCTTTGCATGAATAGACAAATTTTCTTTTCCCAAGCATTTCCAAAATGAAAGGGTTACTTGGATTAAAGTCCCATGAGACTTATGATAAACTCCTAGTCTTCCCTTTCAAGTTACCTCATATTTTTCCAGAGAAACAAATGGAAAGTTTGACATTATCTGAGTAGTTAGTTAAAGGCCTTATCACATTCGGCTGCATTAAATGCTCTTTGTTAGCTTTAAGTGTACCAATTTTATGAGAAATACGGAAGCAAAAACATATGTGTTGTATAATCTTTCTTAACAAATTTATTATTATATTGCGCATAGCAACAAAACAAATTATGAGAATTTAGGTAAATATAGCAGTTTCGTTGTATTTTTGTAAGTTATTGTGTCATTTTTTTACATTATTTTGTATTCCACGGTATTTTGCTATGAAAAATTTAGCATTATCACAAAAAAAATTTAGCATTATGCCTGGGCGCCCTGGGCCCCTCCCCTGGACCTGCCACTGCAATGGTGACCAACATCAATTTTTTCTTTACAATACCCATTCACTGTCAAAAGAAAAGGTTATGAGAATTAACAAAATGATCACCAAAACGAAAATACCTTGATCTTTTGTCAAATTCGCTCAACTAATTCTTAAAGGAAATGTATAGAGATCAGTAAAGAGAATTTGTAAGTGGATATCGGGGCTTAAAGGATTAAGAGAGAGTCGAGTGTTACCAGAATAACAGTGTTCATGATATGACTGTTTAATGTTTTTACTTCTCAGGCAAAGGAGTATGGGAGGTGCAGAGGCATCTGTTCCCATTGTAAAAGTTACACATGAAGCCCCGGTAAGTATTAAGTGAGTTAATGTTTGAGTTTGTGTGGAGTCAATGTAATTCAATATTCACCTGAATTTTCTGCGTTGGTGCATGACTGAATTGTAATAATGAGTTGACAAGTTTGTGACTAGACTTCTTAATAACAGCTTATTGAAAAATAATTATTTAGAAAAGAGCAAAAATACTATAATCTGTGACAGCTATGGGTGTCCATATGATCCACGGGCATATACACAAAAAAACTGGCCATCTATGTAGACTAGCTGCCAAGTTATACATAATTAGGCTTCAAGTTTTGTGGTTAACTTGTGCACTTTGTATGGTCACTTCTTCAGAGTTTTAAAAAACAGACCTGCTTTTTCAAAATTGGATAAACAATATCTGCTGGATAAATCCCTATCTAATGGATACATGTACACTTAAGATTAGGAAAAGTAAGGCCAATTGTGTTATCCGTTAAATAGAATTTGTTGAGTGGATCATGCTTTTCTCCTTTTGAACAAGTAGGGCCAATGTGGAATTTGGAACTGTTCAGTGATCAATCTAGAAGTTGGTCAAAGTGGGTTATACGCATGTATGTCCCACATGGCATTTTAAATTGGGTCATTTCAGAGATGGTCTACTAGGTCAAACTAAGATATTGAAACTTTGAACAACTCTAATGGAAATCTTCATGCTTTTCAGATTCACCTGCCATTCTCTTTTTTGTAAAAAATGAACTTAGCTTTTGTTGCCGTTTCATAATGGAACGAAAACGAAAGAATGAAGTCAACAAACGAAGCAAAAATCAATCGGCAAAGCAATGTACCGCTGCATGCAGAGCGTTCAAATGTGCACTCCAGTCTCTCTCAGATTTGAGAGGAATGCCTGATGTGAAAACTAAACATAAGCACGAAGTCTGAAATTGAATGATAGTCATTCTGTGCACTCATTTCAGGCTAGTAAGCGCACTTTCTTTTTTTAAATTACTTGCATTATTACCAGCTGATTTGGAAGTACTTATATATGAAGTAATATTTTTTGCGTCAGTATGACTCCACGATTATTTCATTTTGGGTCAGAACAGAATACCGTAAAATTCTGAAAATAAGTCCTTCCATGTATAAGCCCATCCAAATATAAGCCCCCAAGCTGGTAACGCAAAAAACCCTCCGTTAAATTGCCCCTCCAAATATAAGCCCCGCAGGGGGGCTTGTACTTGGAAATGTCCATCAAATACAAAGTAAAACAAAGAAAACGGTAAATTTCCTTCCAAGAAGAAGGCTAGCCCAATCGGTTTTTAAATGCAAATTTCCCTCCATCCATAAGCCCCTCCGAATATAAGCCCTTCAAAAAATAAGCCCCTCAAAAATGGTCTTTTGAAAATATAAGCCCCAAGGGCTTATTTTCGGAATTTTACGGTATTCCACGTCAATGGCGGAGAAACGTAGCTTAGATTGGACACTTCAACTGTTGTCATTTAAATAAACCTCTGTAAAATGCTCCTTTGCTTTTAGGTTATTCGCAACCCAGCAGACATGGCATTGAGCCAGCGACAGGCACTAGAGGTAGGTTTACATCACTTAACCCTTTAAGCCCTAAGAATGATCAGCATTAAATTTCTCCTTGTAATAACAAGGCTTTGTTAAACAGAGTGGTCATGAGAATTACGGACATGATCAAACAGGATGAATTAGCTTAATATTTTATCAACTTCTCCCCACTACTTCTGAAGGAAATGAATAGGGGCAACAAATGAGAATTCAAATTTTGATCTTAGGGTTTCAAGGGTTAAAAGATTTACATTAGTAGTATAAAAACCACTCACTCTGTCAAAAGTAATTATAGCTTCTAAATCAGATGCTTTGTGTCTTGTAACGTTTCATCAAAATACTTTATGTCACATTCTTTCCTCCCACATATCATCTCATTATGAAATGGTTTTAATGATTTAGACATTGATGGACTGTAAAACAGCCCATAATTTTGCCTAGATTCAGGACGCCTGCACGCGCGGTCAAAGGAGAGGTTTGGAGTGAGGGTAAAAACGAAGAGTGAGACACGGGCTTTACAATGGTTTCGCTATGTTCGAGTTCGCTACCTACATATTCTTCTTGCTGCCTCTTGGCAAAGTCCAAAACTTGCACCCTCCCTCGAAGGGGCAAGCTTAAAAGAACGCGAAATATTATATATCAAAAGATCTTTTTCTAGATCGATTAGGGGAGTATTTTCAGTGGTTTACAGAAAGCTTACAGCTTAGCGAATTTGTTGCGAACTAGGACGTAGCGAGACGGGTTGTTATCAGAAACGGACGTGTGTGGCCAGCCCACCCACTTAGTTTGAAAATGTTGTGCTGGTGCATCACGCCCTTCAAAGCCAATTTGGAGCAAAAAAAAATGCATTCTAAGTCGATGCCAGATTGTCATGGACCTGGAAAAATAACAACACGAAAATTTAAAGGAACTCATTATAGCACTACCAATGATTGCCTCGTGCATCATGATTTCCTGAATGACTGACATGATCGTATCCATGACAATGTGTTGCACTGACCTGTCAAATAGGGAGCTTTAGATTTGAGGACGAGAACGAGTACAAGTACGAGATGTAAAGTTTTTGCACTTTTTCGAAAAAAGACACCCCATAAAGCATCATTTTAGTATGGTTATTTATACTGGAGGAGGTTAAGCCCTCTCCCGATAGCAAAATGATAAAACTTCTTACAATTGATAGCTTGTTCCCGCCACAAAGACATTTTCGCTAAAACTCGTAGTAGAATGACGGCTATCACGTTTTCCCGCAAAAATGACGCTGGTTCACGCCTGAGCAATACTCAGTATTGAAAAAATCGTCATTCTCGTTCGTTCTTGTCTCAGAATCTAAAGCTCTGTAATGATTCAATGTTGGGGGAGGGGAAGGAGTGGGTGTCACTCCAAGAAATTCTGGGTAGAGGTGTGCTGCCAAGTCCTTCAAACCCTGACCTGTTTAACACAAGAACGGTTCAATTTCGATGCCTCGTTTAAGACCGGAAGAGACCTTATTTTATTACCCTGTTTCGTTTCACTCTCCATACAGAATTAAGTTGTCATTTTTTCAACCTACATTCTTGGACAAAACTCTTGAGAAAATTGCACATTTCGAGAGCATTTTTCTAAACATCGTAGCTGTACCAATTCTTCCCTTCCCCTCTCCCCTTGGAAGCAATGTTGTTGTGTGTTCTGAAGCAACCCTGATCATTGGACGTTTGTAGGAAGCAACTTTGACCTGCGAGAAGGGGATTTGATTCCGCAAGTTAGTTATTTTGGAAATAGTTTTGTTGCGTACGATAGTGCGCATTAAGAGGAAAACGTTCTCAAGTAGTATTTTTCCGGGATTGTGGCAAAAAAGTTGTTGGAGCCATAAACTAATGTAGATCGCTCATCGCCAACCTTTGACTCTTCTAAGGGCTCCCGGTCCAAAAAGATACCACTCGCCTCCCCGGTATGGAGTGTTCTCGTAAGGTGTTCTACAGTCGCCCCACTCCCTTAGTTTTACTGTGAAGAACTGCTATCTCGTGCTTATGGAATCCAACTATTGCATGCTTACAAAATACAGCTGCTAACCAATAGCAACAGTTTCAAGTCCCAGGGAGTTACCCTCCTACGCAGACGCCCTTTGGCTCATCGCGATCTTCTGCAGTGTTAGTTGGGGAGAATTGCGTGACAAGCTTAAAGGATGTCTGTGTAAGAGGCCTAAGACATCCCATCCATTCCTGACTTTTGATTGGTCCATTTGTCCATTTGAGTCTTGGTAATATACATCCAACGTTGACTGTCTGCTTGCTAGTACACCGACCCTTCCTATGCCTACCCTGTAGATTGTATTTCTTCTCTCCCAATCTTCTGCTTTTAAAATGAACGATAGCGACTTCTAGACCTACGGATCGCGCGCTCGACTGCAAAATATCCCTGCATTGCAGGTTAATGGTATCCTGTCTCAGAACTACTGGAACAGTTTTATTTTTGACTGTCTCAATTCTTTTCGTACTTAAGTGTTAAGTAAACGACAATACAAGACAGTAAACTTTCCTTAACCCCTTAAGCGCTAAGAGTGATCAGCATGAAATTTCTCCTTATAATATCAATGTTGTAGAAAACAGAGTGGTCATGAGAATTGAGTACATGATCAGGGAAGATGAGGCTAATTGATATTTTAACAAATTCTCCCCACTACTTCTGTTGAAAAAGTATAGGAACAGTAAATGAGAATCTCAATTTTGATATTAGGGTTTAAAGGGTTAATATGGGACTAACGCGAGCTATGTTTAGACTTTTATGGAACGTTTTCTTTTGTTTTTTAGCACGCAAACACAACGTCTTCTGGATATTTTATCTCGCAAGACTCAGCTTACGGAAATCTCATCCTGCCGGTTTTACCAAGGTTTGAAAATGGAGAATTAAAAATGATTTGAGATTGGACTGCTTTGGAGCGTGATTTTCTAAGAAGCTTTTTCCATTAACATTTAAGATTATTTGGAGACTCAGAACGTATGAGTGTCTACCCTTGCCTAGTTCCTAGGCCTCATTATTCCGCACGGCTTATGCATTTCGAGTCACGTGGTCCGAGCGAATTTTTGACCTGGCCGTTCGTCTCGGATACGTCACCGAAATTCATTGGCCCAGGAGGCCTGGGAAGACGCTGTTAGGGACAAGGCAATGTTCAAACAATGAGCTTCGAGAACGATCATCTCAAGTTGTTTGAGGAAGTAACCTAATGCATGGTTTAATGCAAGGTTGGAAAAGTCAGACACTATATTTGCTTAAATGTTGAAAGGAGCTGATGAAAGTAATCTGTAGTTGATACGACTTACGATGTGAATAAAACGTTAATTAAACGTTGAACTGATACTCAAGTTGCAACTTCCCCCGTGTCTCAAGTCGTGACCATTTTGACGCTGACTGGCATGGTTATGGCATATTTGGAAGTTGGTAAGTTCGACTTTTTTATAATTTTTATTATCATTAGTAGAGTTGGCCGCGACTCGAGCAACTCTTACGCCTCTTCCGTGCTCTCCAAACTTCCTGCGTGCTTCATATCTCGACATACGCACGCTGAATCATGAACCTGTAGTTAATTTCTCTTCGGTTCGAAAAGATTTGTTTAGTACATGCCATACTTGTACGATGAAGGACAAACGTCAATCTATTTATCGCGCATCTAATAATTAAGGACAGTCTCTTGAAGTCTCCTACTAGAAGACGGGACTGTTGCCATCCGAGCCACGCTAAGGTAGAGCCATTTGCAAGGCAAAGGCAGTACCGGTCTCGGGAAATAATCGAACCTAAGGCCTCCAGATGTGCAGACAGGGCTCAAAATAACGGCATGTCAAAGGACAATGTCCCGTCAGAATGGCGACTTGAACGGCCTAAAAGTCACTTGCCGATCTTGTTGACCGGTCACGGCTTCTTGTACTCGACGACACGAAACTAAACGAAAGAATCTTTGACCTCACAAGACCTGCATGACCGTGACCGTGAGTCACTGTTGGGCAGCATCTTACTTTGGCATTCTAGTCATCTTGTTTCTCTAAATGCCATCTTTGCGTCTCCCGCGTTGTTGTTTAGCGAAAGAAGATGACTATCCTTTCATAAAGTCACTTTTAAAAGATCTAGCGACGACTAGAACAAGTAAATGATAGTTTGGATATTACACTTTAAATTTTGACCGGTCAGAAACGGGGCTTGACCGAGCAAAGATTTTCTTCGGCTAGTCAACGTGTCCGGTCACTTTCCGAAAATTATTTTGAGATCTTTTGAGCCCTGACCGGCTCAACACTTCTCCGACTGAGCTAATCCTGCCGCGGTCAACGTTGAGACAGTTTCCCTCAAGACGATGGGTGCCCTGTGCCGCAGCAGGATGCCCTGTGCATGTAGCTTCGAGGATGCGTGTAGGTGGTCTTTCAGAACGGCGAGCACGAGGTCAACGGGTAAAATCCTCAGTTTTTTTAGCTGCAGTTTTCGTTATACTTTCCTTCTGGTTTACTCTCTGAAAACCTACCCTCTATATACATGTAATAATGATGTCGTACTGCAGTTTTTATCGATCGCCACGTGAAGAATCTAAGTGTTGTCAAAGTTGTTTTAATCGAATATTTTATGGCTTGTCGTCTTTCGCCTCAACAAATTGCTGCTGTGCAATTTCGACATTGCAAAAAAAGTGGTTAGCGAGCTTTAGCAACGACGACCCGACGGCAGCGAAAACGTCAGTAGTACTAAAGTTTTGGCGTTTTTGAAGAAATGTTTTCGCGATCATTTCAACTCTCTTAAAATGTCAAATGCATGTAACTTTCCCTGGGATTGAAATTCTTGGGGACCGAATCCAAGTTTAGTATAGAAGGAGAAAGAAAAATTTGTCGTGGTGTGTTTTATCACCGTGGGGGAATGTCAGGCCCCGTCCACACGATTTCGGATATTTTTGAGAACGGAGATTTTTTCTCCGTTTTCCAAAAAATACGCATCTACGCGTAGCGTATTCGAATCGTTTTCGCCCGTCCATACGAAAACGCTAAAAGGATGGAAATACGATAGCGTACCTTATTGAGCATGCGTCATGCGATGAGGTATTTTTAATGAATGACATCATCGTATTCGAAAACGAAAAGCCGCCGTTTTCAAAAATCTCCACTCTGGAGAGCGTTTTTGAAAAGATGCGTTTTCGGTGACCGTTCTTACCCGCTAAGGGACCGGTCATTATAGGGGGGATCACTTGATTTTTCGAAGAACAAACGGGGGCATCAGTCGTAACTGAGAACCCAAAAGGGGAGATCGCTGAAAACTTTCGAAGGATTCAGAGGGGGGACCACTCGAATTTGCTTAGAAAATAAAGACAGGGGGGGGGGGGTTGCGAAAGTCATCAAAAGTTATTAGGGGGGATCACTTCAGTGAAGTAACATTCAAAGGGGGGGATCGCCTAAATTTCACCTCGTTTAGCCCAAAATCCTCCCCCCCCGGAAACGTGGGACCGGGGCCTCCGCGACAGCAAAGAAGTGTACCAAAAGTGTGTTGCACGTGAAGGGTTGGTTGTTTTGCGTATTGAACCTATTACTTTTTTGACGTTTCAGTTGCCTTTGCCGTGATCGTTGTTTCCGAGGTTTGTTCCCCTGATAAGGATCGCCTAAATTTCACCTCGTTTAGCCCAAAATCCTCCCCCCCCGGAAACGTGGGGACGGGGCCTCCGCGACAGCAAAGAAGTGTACCAAAAGTGTGTTGCACGTGCAGAGTTTGTTGTTTTGCGTATTGAACCTATTACTTTTTTGACGTTTCAGTTGCCATTACCGTGATCGTTGCTTCCGAGGTTTGTACACCTGATAAAACACGACTGCGAGTTTTTTTGCACGGCTTCAAAATCTCTTAATATAAAGAGCAACTCAGTCTTCAGCACTAATATTTATTTAGGATTATTTGGTTCAAAAAATTGGACGTAAACTTTAGCCGTGTCTTTATCAGATATAAAGACACTCATCAGTGAGTTTTTTAAATCCATTTTAAAATTTTCTTTTGTAGCTTTTAATAACAAATATAATCCGCAAAAGGCATAATATGTAATGAGTCTTTCATAGTGATTTCATCGTTAAAAGCCGCTTTACTTTCCATATGGTTTCTAAAACATAAATAAATAAGTTTATAAATACATATAGGTACATACAAAAAAATAAATAAATAAATAGATAAATAGGAATTTAAATAGTAATTTTTTTACATGCAAAATGCGCTGTTTCATCTGTAACGCAAACGACAATGTGGGTATTTAGAACTAAGGAATTAAGTGTATTAAACCTCTGAGTTTTTTTTTAAACATAGATTTCAACTTCCGTTTTGTCTTTTAAAGAACGCTATATTTTCCTATTTCTTGCGTTGAGATTTCACTTGTTTGTCAGGTCAATTTTGTTTTCTCGTTGGTCTAGAAAGCTGTTATCTCCTACAACTATAGATCATTTTCGTTTCTGCGCCAGTAAAGTAACTGAAATTGCACAAACAGTTTCAAGAAGTCACAGATGTAATTTCAATAAAGTTTCTTTACGAGGAATTACACAAGGATTATTGCCTTTTTTCGACAAAAACTAAAAACCAAACTTTCACGTGGAATTAATTGTGTTAAACCTCTATTTGAGTTGTTTTTTTTAATTGTTTTACATATATTTGGACCTCTATTTCGTCTTTTGAAAAACGCAATGTTTTTTTGTTTATTGCGTTGAGATTTCATTCGTTTATCAGGTCAACTTTATTTTCTCGTTGGTCTAGATAGCAAGTCTAGTATTTCCTTAAACTAAAGATCATTTTCGTTTCTGCGTGTGACTGAAGTAACTGAAAATGCGAAAGCAATTGAAACAAGTCATGTGTTATTAAAATAAAGTTTTTTTAAGAGAAACTATACAAGGATTATGCGTTTTCTTTTTTACAAAGGTTTAAAAATCCACTAAGAACACTAAGCCAAAATCTGCAGTGCAAACTAAAAGAAAGAAAACCGATATTAAAAATGGCGTAAAGTCAAAACGAAAATCCAAGTCGGCCCCACTAAACAAAGAATAGGTTTTGACCAATAAGAACTCATGTGGTTTGTAATGTTATATAAAGCGAGTGGTAAATTCGCTCGTAACAAAAAGAAGATAGTTTCAGCCTTAAAATCGCCTCTTCGTTTACAAATTCCGTGGCAAAGAAAAATTGAGTGAAGTGATGAATTCAAGTCAAGCTACAAACGTGTCCGTCCCCTCTTCTTGCCTGGCCGCTGAAAGGATGTTCGGAAATCTTCAGCAGCCGTCCTTTTTCTTTCAAGGTGTTCTTATCTTGTACATAATCATCAATATCATCACTGTTCCTTTCACTGCCGTCTTGAACGCGCTGGTGATGATCGCCGTGAAAACGAAATCCGATTAAGGGCGCAAAAATCGAACATTGTTTTAGCTATGCTTGCATTGACTGACTTTTTTGTTGGAATACTTGCTCAGCCCATCTTCACTGCAGGGACGATTTCTATCTTGCTTCAGGAAAGCGATTGCCAGTCAGGTGTCATTCAGATTGGTTTCATAGTTCTCGCCAACTGCTTGTTCACTAGCTCGGTACTTCACCTGGCGTTAGCGAGTGGCGAGCGCTATGTAGCCATTAAATACCCATACCAACACATTACCATCGTCACAGAGTCTCGTTTGCTGGTCGCGTCTCTTCTAACGTGGCTTCTGGCGGTGACGGTGCACTTTGCACTTGCTATTAACACGGATGTATTTTTTAGCATTAACAATACAGTTATCGGTCTGTCTGTTGCTGTAATTGTTTGCTGTCATTTGTCAGTGTTCCTCGAAACTCGCCGACACGAACAGCAAGTCGCAGCGCAGCAAATTACAGAGGAAGCCAGAAAACAATTTGAAAAAGATAAAAAGGTCTTCAAACTAACATCTACTATAATTGGGTTTCTTTTACTTTGTTATTCTCCGTTAATGTTTAGTAGAACTGTCCTTTTAAATTTTTTAAAACCCTCCTTAAATACCTTTTATATAATTGATTTTTTCGCTCTCACGGTAGTGTTTTTGAACTCGTTACTAAATCCTGTGATTTACTGTATCAGAATCAGGCACTTTCGTGTCGCAATGATTGAGTTAACATTTAGAAATGTGACGTTAGCGAAGGCTGAAGAAATGGAGATGCAGTGGTTTGGAGCAAAAAATGTTGTGGTTGGACGCGAGACTGGGCAAGATCAAGGAAGGCCAGAACAACAAAATACGGAAAGATTAAATGTCAGCTAAAATCAATATTTTATCTGTAGGCAATCTTCACGGGGATGCATCAGACTACAATAGTAGTAGTAGTAATAATAATAATAATAATAATAATAATAATAATAATAATAATAATAATAATAATAATAATAATAAGGAGAAGAATCTTTATTATGCTTTTGTGGATGTACATGGTTGATATTACAATCAGGTAAATTTACTTACAATAGAAGATAAGTTAAATGTAATGAGAATAATGGGCAAGCTAGGAAGCTAAATGAACCAGCTGGTTTTCTTGTTAGCTCCCTGAACAATTTATTCTAGGTAGCAGGTAAAATCAAAAGAAATAAAAAAAACAAACAAACAAAAACAAAGAAGAAAGAACTTATTTACATGAAGTATGTTGCTTCATTAGCAAAACGAAAATTCATTCCATTTGTTGTTCTGGCAGTAGATAGCGTATAATTTTCTTCGGAAACGCAGACACACTTGAGTTTGTTTAAACGAGTTCGAAGATCATTCTAAATGTCCGCAGCCATAAAAGAGATTGATTTCTTGCCTATGTTTGTTCGTAGGCTCGGCTTATAAAGATTTTCCTCAGCTCTTTATCCCGTTTTGTAGCAATGGATATTACTAGCATATTGAAACATGTTGTCGAATAACTCAGGCAGACATCCTTTATGCCTTCAGTGCACTTGTCAGCTGACTTGTTGGTGAATTATTCTTCAGGAAAACATAACCGGCCATGTGCTAATATTATTAATGCTTTTTTCTTTGTAGTTTTGTTTCGGATGTGGCTATAATTTCCGGACTCCCTTTTATAGTCCAAATAATTTCTTCCAACGATGTTAGATTTTTAGGTAGACTACGCATATTGAAATGCATTAAAAAAAATTCTTTTTTTTTTTCGCCTAATGAAAGAAATTTCCATACTGTTAAACGGTAAAATAGCCAGATTGGATGTAATTGTTGTATGGAGACTTTTGTAGTTCACTTTCTCTTTTAGGGTTAGTAATAAAATCTGCGAATAGATCTTTAGACTTGTTTTAACAAATTGACGCCAGTTTTTATCGTCTGTCCACTTATTGAAAGACTTGTCGTTTTTTTTCCTTTGTACCTTCCCATGAGACCCCGCGCGCCTCAACCTGAGCCCCAATCTTCTCTCATCCCAAAAACACAAAAATAGCGACTGGGTACGAGTTTGACTTATTGGTGATATAAAATGACGTCATAACATTATCAAAGTGTTGTGGATCTTAAATCAAGTTACCCAATAATCAGTTTGAAATTCCGTTTCGACAGTTGGAATAAAATTACGACAGAGGTCCAGTAGATTCAATCTTCAGTATCTTTCAGTTTTTGTACGCTGAAACAGTTACTACCGATTAACATCATTCCCTATCCCTGATAAATTTACCAAAACTTTGAAAGATTTTTAAATAGTTTTTTTTCCTTTCGTTGCTAGCTATTCTGGCGGGCCAAGGCCTTAGTGTGGAGCGTGTTGCAGTAGTGTTTTTTTTTTTCTTTTCGCTCTGTCGTACTGTACCTCGTGTGGCCAAAGAGACCAACTGGAAGTCAAGCTTAGAAGCAATCGCTTTCCATAACACAAAACGGAGTACACTTAGACAGCAAGAAAGGGCAAGCGTAACTGACGAAGGTCGGAAAGAAAAGTTAAATTTTACTGTGGATCTGCGAATTGGAAAAGACAAGTTGTTTTTTTTTTAAAATTTCATTTGTTATTCCAAAGTACAACAATTACAATTATTATTACAAAGCATACATGCACAAACGGACTACACACTCAAGCACACATGCAATTCCACAATCACCACACAAGGTAAGCCTACTGTTATATAACAAGGGCTATTCAAAAAAGAAGAAACTAATCATTTTAGTAAGAGAAGAAAATTAACTAGATTACAAAGTCCATTTGTCCATTAATTTTTGTAAACTCTTATTCTTAGTGCAAATATATTTTTCTTTTTCATATTTACCGTTTACTCTAACTATAAAACTGTTAATGGTTGGGAGTACTTCATTCCCTCTGCGACTTCATAAATATAATTTCCCTATAAGTATAAGATAATTAAGCAAGGGGCATTCGGAAGGTAAAAAGCCGATCCAAATTTCCTTTAATGTTAGGTGAACTAGTTGTTCTCGCAACCCAAAATAATATAATTCAACACATTTCCAGAATGAATTCGAATAAGGGCAGTCCCAAAAGAAATGTCTGATAGCATCTTGCTTGACCTATAGCTAGACGAAAAACAACAAAGCCATGAACTGCACTTAATGACTACGACATGGCGAATGTCTCTCTATTTTCACCTGCATATGGTACTCCCACGCTTCAGTTTTTTAGGGAAAAAGAAACAGTTAATTTTCTTTTAACCAAAAGTTTAAAATTTTCGAATTAGAAGCCCCGCTAATGACCTTTGAGGAGAGAGTTTTGCTCAGTATCTTGTTGGATTTAGTATATATTTGCTTCATATCTCAGTGTTTTGACCAAAAAAGTTTCTCCCCGACAGTCAAGTAGAATGTGAAAAATCATTCTGGCCGATTTGCTGTGAAAGTTCCACAATTTTTATTTGAAGATTTAGAATTTAGTTTAATATCAACGGTTAATTTTCACTTCCTAATCCAGAAGGATTATTAAAAATGTTACTTAAAAAGCCGGTCAAATTATAAATTTTTAATTATTTGTCGGCTCTCTGCAGTTTTAAGTAACAGCAGTTAATTCTTACATGCAAAGTCCGAGCGCTGTTTTAACGCTAGCGACAAAGGTTTTTCTACTGGCAACGAAATGATTTTTGAGACCTCGAAATGTACATTTCCACTAGCGAGCCATTATGATTGGGACATTTTGTGAATTACAGGTTGAATTAAGCTGAAGTTTTTGAGATTTCGCCTCGTTTAACGCTCAACTTTGTTCAGTTGCTTTTGGCAATTAGTTTAACGATGTAGAAAATGTACAGTACTTCGTAATTATATTTTGTAATAAGGAAAGAAAAGTTAAAATTCATTTCTCTGGAATTCAAGAACAGTACATTGCAGAGAGCATTATAAAACCGGACCAGGTATATCTTCGTTACTTCAGCTGCACTAAGTGAAAGTGGGTATGCTTTAAACAACTCACAGATGCCATGTGAAAATAGAGCGGCTTTTTACGATGAAATCACTATAATTATTATTATTCCTTCTGTGGATTATGTTTGTTTTTAATAGCTAAATGAGAAAATATTTATTAAAATGAAAATAGAATTCCAGTTATTGAATATCTTAAGTGGTACATCAAGTCTAAAATTTGCATAGGCAGTATTTTAGTATCAAAAATTAATTTTCTGTTTTCGTTTTATTTAAACTATTTGTGCAAAACTGGTTTCGACTAAAAACAACGTGCTTTGAAATATTAGTGTTGTATTGATTGTTTTTCTGTCTAGAGCTACACACAGTTTTCTACCCTAAACCGTCTGCCCGAATCGTTGACTTTCGTGTAATTGTACACGCGTTTTAAAAAGTAAGTATTAAGTTTTAAAACTCTGAGTTTGTTGTTGTTTTCCAGATATTTGGACTTCCGTTTTGCCTTTTAAACAACGCAATGTTTTTCTGTTTCTTGCATTGAAATTGGTCTTGAAAATTATGCCCTGAAACTAAATCATTTTCGTTTCTGGGAGTGAAGCAACTAAAATTGAGAATTCAAAGCAATTGAAACAAGTCGCAGATGTAATTTAAATAAAGTTTTTTTACGAAGAACTATGCAACGATTATGGCTTTCCTTTTTTACAAAAGCCAAAAACCAAACTTTCACGAGGAATTAACTGTATCAATCAAGTTATCTCCCGAAACTGGATCATTCAGTTTTGCTTTTGCGAGTGAAGTAACTGAAATTAAGAATTAAAGCAATTTAGACAAGTCCGATCACAGATGTACTTTAAATAGAGTTTATTTAAGAGGAACTACACAAGGATTATGCCTTTTCTTTTCTACAAAATCCAAACACCAAACGTTTTAAGAACGAAAGACCGATCCACTAAGAACACTAAGCCAAAAATCGGCAGAGCAAACAGAAAGAAAACCGAAAATAAAAATGGCATAAAGCCAAAACGAAAATCCAAGTCGGCCCCACTAAACAAAGATAAGGTTTTGACCAATAAGAACGCATTTGGTTTGTGATGTTTTATATAGCGAGTGGTAAATTCGCTCGTAACAAAAAGAAGAAAGTTTTAGTCTTAAAAGGTGCAACAAGGAATCGCCCCTTCGTTTTTCAAATTCCGTGGCAAAGAAAAATTGGAAGAAGTGATGAATTCAAGTCAAGCAACAAACGAGTCCGTCCCCCCTCCATGCACGGCCGAAGAAAGTTTATTCGGAGATCTTCAGCCGCCTTCCTTTTTCTTTCAAGGTGTTCTTATCTTGTACATAATCAGCAACATCATCACTGTTCCCGTTATTGCTGTCTTGAACGCACTGGTGATGATCGCCGTAAAGACGAAATCCCGATTAAGGGCGCAAAAATCGAACATTGTATTAGCCATGCTTGCATTGACCGATTTATTGGTGGGAATTCTTGCTCAGCCCATCTTCATCGATGGAATGATATCTATCTTGCTTCAGGAAAGCAATGGCCAGTCGTGCCTAACGGAAATTTTGTCTTTTGCTGTTTCAAACTGCTTGTTCACTAGCTCGCTACTTCACCTGGCCTTAGCAAGCGGGGAACGCTATGTAGCCATTAAATACCCATACCAACACATTACCATCGTCACAGAGTCTCGTTTACTGGTTTCTTCTCTACTAACCTGGCTTCTGGCTGTGATGGTGCACGTTGCACTTGCTGTGGACACGTTTCTTTTTTATAGAATTAATAATATAGTTATCGGACTGTCCTTGGCTGTAATTATTTTCTGTCATTTTTCAGTTTACATCGAAACTCGCCGACACAAAAACCAAGTTGCAGCACAGCAAGTTACACAGGAAGCAAGGAAACAATTTGAAAAAGACAAAAAGGCCTTCAAATTAACATCTACTATAATTGGGGTCCTTTTACTTTGTTATTCCCCGTTAATGTTTTGTAGACTTTTCCTTGTAACTATTTATACACCCACCTTAAATACATTTTATATAATTGGCTTTTTCGCTGTCACGGTAGTGTATTTGAACTCGTTACTAAATCCTGTGCTTTACTGTATCAGAATCAGACAATTTCGTGTCGCATTCATTGAGTTAACATTTAGAAATGTGAACGTAGCGAGGGCTGAAGAGATGGAGAGGCAGTGGTTTGGAGCACAAAAAGTTGTGGTTGGACGCGAAGCTGAGCATTATCAAGGAAGGCCAGAATAACAAAATAAGGAAAAATGAAATGTCGACGAAAATCGATATTTTATGTGTAGGTTATCTCCATGGGGTTGCAACAGACTCCTGCAGTGATTTGCAGGTGATATCATCCAGTATTCTCTCTTTTCGCTTTCCAGATTTAGACCTTCAAATTCCCTTCTTGCGTTGGTACCACAAATTAACAAATATTATCAGTATAATGTCGGCTTGTTTGCAATAAAGCACTAGTCTTGTATTGTCATTTTTGAGCCACTGAGCATCAACTGTAAACTAGAATTGGCAATATGTACTTAGTCTGTACTGTAGACGAAATGATTTTGCTATTATATTGATTATTTTTTTTCTTTGTTATTATTTCAAGAAACATAATGACCGTTTGTGGTCGTTTCTATCGAATAAATTTGATATGGTACCGGAGGCTACGTTTTGTTTCGACTTTGTCCTCAGTCGAGCTATACTGGGCTGCAACGTGGCTACCACGATGTGCAAAATGGAGCTAACAGGAAAAATCTGAGCAAAAGACCGCCGGCTTTTCTCTGTAAAGTAGTGTTTTGTTTTTGTAGTAGTTGTTTTATCTTTTCCTCAGAAAACGAGCCATTTGGACTAAGTATCGCCTCTTCAAAAAATAAAGACATTTATTCTTCTTTTCTTGTTCTTGCATCCTGATATCTCAAAAGAATTTATACCTACAAGAACGTAAATGACATTTTCTTCAAGTTCCACCATTCTTTATAAAGGATGCCAAAAATCATAGAAATCGGTGAAATCGTTCTTGCCGAAAAACGCGATTTAAAAAGATAACTAACGCGCATAAAAATACGGTTCGGGCCACCTTAAACAACTCACAGATGCCATCTGAAAAATAAAACGGCTTTTTACGATGAAATCACTATTAGGGAGTATTAAGCATTATTCCTTTTGTGGATTATGATTGTTTTTAACAGCTAAATGAGGAATTTTTTAAATGAAAATAAAACTTATTGAATATGTTTAGTGGTACATCAAGTCTAAAATTTGCATAGGCAGTATTTTATTATCAAAAATTAATTTTCTGTTCTCCCTTTATTTAAACTATTTGTGCAAAACTGGTATCGACTAAAAAAAAAAAACGTGCTTTACAATATTAGGGATGTCTTGATTGTTTTCTTTCTAGAGCTACACACGTTTCTCCAAATCAACCCGAAACCGTCTCCCGAATCGTTTTCACCTCGGACTTGATCGTATTTCAGTTTGCTATGAAGAGATCAGATAATCATGATCTCTCCTGGTCGTTATCTTCAAGCAGCAATTAAATACTTCTTTCGCGTGTGGCGAAATAGGGGAAAAACTCTGCATTTTGGTTGAAAAAGCTATCTGAAAGAAGTAAAAGTGGAGTTAAGCGTAAACGCACCGTCTTTTTAGCTATCAAGTAAGTAAGAGGTGAAACTTTCCATTTGCGTATCCGCGTTTAAATAAACTCACAACATAAAAATGCTGGTCAACACAAGTCGAAGGCGAGTGATTGATTCCTCTTATCAAAAATGGGTTTAAATTTTGCGCCTGTAAACTAACAACCGATCTGTTGTTTTAGAAAATAAATCAACGTTAAAATGAATTTTTTCAGTTGTCTGTGTTTTCACAGATATAAACACAAAGGAGGCCATACGGCCCTGCTGATAACGCAAAACCGCGAGGACAAGATAATCAAAAACGACATGAACCAGCAGTAAAAATCGATAATTAGAACGAAACAAATCGCAGGCGGCTTCTTTCAAAAGAACCCATGGAGGGTCATGCATCTGATTTCAGTCAAACTTTGCACAAGTTGAACCTTCTCACAAATGAACCAACGCAGCAAAAACCTAAACAGACCCAACAGGCCGGGCACTTAGGTTCTAAATAAAAACCTAAGACTGAGCGAAAGTTCACTTTGCAAACAACGAGAACCGCTTTAGTTAATACTTTTCGCAAATAGCAAATTTCAAAAAGCAACAACCGAGAAACCGATCTTTAAAACGGCTTAAGCCACTAAGCTCAAAAGCCAAGTGCCCCACCCATGATTGAAATAGGTATTCCTTGAGCTATTTCACCAATCAAAACACGCTTAATACCTCAGTCGTTTTTTTGTCTTGTTTTGATGTTATATAGCGAATGGTTGAGTACGCATATAAAAAGACCAACACATTGAAAGGAGACAGTTTTAGTCGTGAACGATTTAATAAATTCCGTGGCAAAGCAAACAGAGAGAATTGATGAATTCAAGTCAAGCAACGAAAGAGTCCGTCCCCTCGCTATGCATGGCCGCTGAAAGCGACTTTGAAAATCTTCAACAGCCTTCCTTTTTCTTTCCTCTCATCTTGTACGTAATCATCAACATCATAATGGCTCCTGTCGCTGTGGTCTTGAACGCGCTGGTGATGATCGCCGTAAAGACAAAATCCCAATTGAGGGCCCAAAAGTCGAACGTTGTATTAGCCATGTTTGCATTGACCGATTTTTTGGTGGGAATTCTTGCACAGCCCATCTTCATTGCGGGGATTATATCTATCTTACTTCAGGAAAGCAATGGGCAGTCGTGCGTAACGCAAATTTTGTCTTTTGCTATTGCAAACTCGTTGTTCACTAGCTCGCTACTTCACCTAGTGTTAGCTAGTGGGGAACGTTATGTAGCCATAAAACACCCTTTTCAATACACTTTCATCGTCTCAGAAGCTCGCTTATTGGTTGCCTCTCTACTGGCTTGGGATCTATCTGTGACTGTACACATTCTACTTGCTGCTGACACTGTTGTATTTTTTAGCATTAACAGCACAGTCATTGGACTGTCCATTGCTATAATTGTTTTCTGTCATGGTTCAGTGTACTTGGAAACTCGACGACACGAACACCAAATTGCAGTGCAGCAACTTACAATGGAAGCCAGGAAACAATTTGAAAAAGACAGAAAGGCCTTCAAAGTAACATCTATTGTAATTGGGGTTCTTATACTGTGTTGTACACCGTTAATTTTTTGTAGAAGTGTCCTTTTTCAACTTTACATACCCTCCTTAAATAACTTTTATATAATTATCTTTTTGGCTTCGACGGTAGTGTTTTTCAACTCGTTACTAAATCCTGTGATTTACTGTATCAGAATCAGACAATTTCGTGTCGCTTTCATCGAATTAATATTTAGAAATGTGAACTTTGCGAGGGCTAAAGAAATTGAGAGGCAATGGTTTGGAGAGCCAAACGCTGCGAATAGACGTGAAGCTGGGCAAGATCAAGGAAGGCAGGATCAGGAAAACGTCGAGAGAGCAATTTACGTTGACCAAAACAACACTGGTGCAGGTTAGATTACGTAATCGTTTTACCTTTTTTATTAGGCTGTTTGTTTGCATTACCTAGGCCTTTGCGATTCTTGTTATAGAAATAACGTTGATTGTACCTTGGTCTTAAAGTACATGCATAACAATCAGTGTGGAAATGATATCCTGTCGAAGCACCAAAACCAAGTTGTAGAAAAGAGAACTAACTAGGCTAAACAGGTGACGTAATATGTCAAGCAGAAGAGAGTTTAAAATACGACGCGCAACGGAGTATTTTTGACGAACTTCGAGGTGTTTCATCTGGTGATGAAACATTGTCGAATTCTTGATATTACTTCTCAAAAAAAATGATTTTAGAAGGAGAAATTAAAGATGCAAAAATGAGCAGTTTTTCATCTGATTTCCAAACACTCATTTAAAAACATTAATTTCCCTGGTATTTTCTTTATGAATTATTAATGAGTTTGAGAAGTGTACGTTAATCTTTGCGGGACTACAACAGACTAAGCTTCGCAAATTGAAATCAGAATTCAGTATTATTCTTTTTCACTGTCTTTTAAAACATGAAAAACTTTTGCTTGTATTGGTACCCCAAAATAACTTCCACTACGGGTTAGACAAAGGTCATGTGTACATAATAACTATCGCAGACAGAATTACGATTTTGCAATTACATTGATTGGATTTTAGACTGCTTGCAGTCCGCCTTTTCTCTTAAAATCTGTCTAGTTCTTGATCTCATCCAGTGCGACTGCAAACCACGATGTTATTATATAGGGATCGAGACGAGACAAGACGAGAAAAGACGGAGTCTCTTATTTTTCCTTCTTGGGCTTGCGCCCTCGTTAATTTCTCACGGCAAGCGGCTTCCCCGCTCGCGTGCTTAGGTATTGGGTAGTAACTTTGTAAAGAAAATTAAGAGACTGCTCGCAGTATAATTGGATTTTGACTTTGTCGTTATCTAATGAAACCCAATAACCGTTTGTGGTCAACACCATCAACTAAAATGAAGTTGATGTGGTACCATGGTACCTAAAGCATTTTTTTTTCCTTTCTTCTTTGCCCTCAAAAAGCTTGGGCTGCGAAGCGGAGACAACTAGCGGTAAAGCTTCGAGATAGTTGAGTCACTCATATTACATTTCAGAGATCAAGTTAACTTATATATGCCCGGTAAAAGAGGGAGTTGGAGAAAAAAACTGCGTAAACGCCTATATACATGTACATCTTTGTTAAAGGCTCCTGAATTGCTTACTCAAACACTGATTTTTCTCGACTGTGATTACAGCTGAAAGAATTCTTACGACATGAATAAAATGTTAAAACATGAATGTTGAACCAAAACTAATCACGCTTTTTACTTTGTTTACCATGTTACATAAGCGTTACATCGGAAAAGTGCGTAGTGGCGTGGCCAAAGGAGCAAAGCTTTCAAGTTGGTCACTACTACAGTACAGTTACTGTTGGGAGGCGGTTTCACTTATATAACTACAGTCGACTCCCGATAACTCGAACCTTCAAGGGAAATCGAAAAAAGGTTCGAGTTATCGGGAGTTCGAGTTATCGAGAGTTAGAAGAGAATAGCCGAGAGTATGGTAAATAACAGTTTTTACTGCACAGTGAACATTTTAATCACATTTAATTATAGAAATGTCAAGTGAAAATAAAAAGATACTTCTAGATTATAAAACAGAACGTAACGTAACAAAACATAGCCTAAATAGAGTATGCGTTTTACTGTTTTGAGAAGAAAAGGTGCTTCACGTTAGCCTGTCACAATCAACATCAGTCTCCACTTATGCTACGCCAAAAGTGACAAAATATCAAAGATGCAACTTTATAATTCAAATCCACCAATTCACTATCAAGATCGATAAAATTAACATCAATTTGCTTTTTGAATGTGTCAAGATTGTAGAATTTAATGTCAATTCCAACGTCTTTCATGTCATGTATCAAGAGACACGTTCTCTAAATCAAGATGCATGTTTTTTAAATCAAGAAGGGAGACGACAATTTTTGATCAGTTTTGTCTCCGAGAGGGACTGAAACCGAAAAATCTGCCATGCGCCATGAATAATCCCGCCCATTCTTGCCCATTCCCGCCCTCCCGCGTTAGACATGGCGGAGGAAGGAATCGAAGAACTTGTCAGAAGAATCATTGGAGTAGCACAAGACACATCTCGAGCTGATGTGGCCTCAAACAAGAACTGAGGCGGCGATTTAAGAACGAGATAGGCTCGATCAGAAAGAAAGCAGAACAGGCTCTCGTAGGAGGGCTGGTGAAATATTTCAAATATCATCGCAGGCACAGGGTCCAGAGGAGATGTGTTTGTCGTTAGAACATCAAAACCCGTCGTGCACCTCTGAAAAAGTTGGTTATTTTGATCGCGTTACAGTTTAAAGAGCGGAGAAAAAGACAAAAAGCACTTTTGTAACGCCATTGAGTCACGCAAACAGTATATCAAAAACCTGTCAAATGAACAACTGACAGATGAGCAAATTACTTTACTATCGCGTGGTCTAAAGTTTATCCCTGCACCCGTGACAAAAGAAAATCCTATCAATCAATTTGCGAGACGAATGCGACTACAAAATATTTTTCACGGGAAAGAAAACGAACCTCATCCTTTCCACGTGAAGTCGGACTGAGAACCACCAGTCCAGCCATTTGTAGCTCTGGAGACCTTCTTAGAGGAGGTAAAATTAGAGCTCGCAAGTATTGAATTGGACAAGCCAAAAGATAATTTACGGGAGATGATCTGTGCGCACTGAGTCAAAGCACAAACATGATGATAAAAGACTTTAGAGTATACCGGCGTGTCACGTCTGATCGCAAACACTGAACGCATTAATCACGATGACCTTTGCGTAGGCGGTGAGGGAAAAAGTATGTCGGGGGTCAACGCGCATATTTGACGAAAAATAATACAATAATAAGATGCAAATCACTAAAGACGTCATGGTAAAGTACCGTAGATTGCTTTCACTTTCGAGTCGAAGTAGCGTGTCCCTCTCTTTTCTAATGGCCCTCAGCTGAAATGTCACTGATTTTATTCCGGAAAAAAAAATCAACAATCTACAGTTAGAAGACCCAAAGGTAAGTGTACAATCAGTAGACAAGAAGTCTAGCGACGGCCATTTCAGAATGGAACTTAACGGTTCTGTATGTGCAATTCAATTTGCTTGCTGAAATTGTATCACAAACAGAAGATCGGGGGGGGGGGGGGTTTAATTTTTCTTTTAACCTTTAATTAAAGGAACCCATAGGATCTTTTTGTTTTTGAAACCGCTCCGGCCAAAACGGAAGGCCCAAAAAATAAAAATTTTGTTTTATGTAAAAAAGGCAAAACAACCTTTTTTTGGCTTTTTGTTATTTGTTTTGTGCAGGCTCAGCGCAACACAACAAA